ATATATCTGTAACATTTCACTAGTAATAATGGATAAAAAAAACTGATGCAGTGTATATTTTTGCTATAGTATTACGATTATGGAAAGATCCCGAAGATCCTCCCCTCATGATCCTGGACAATCTTTTAAATATAGGAAATAGATTGTAATTTATATGCTACCTTGCATGCAAATATTCTTGCCATATTCATTGCTGTACAAATTCTATATAATGATACTCACACAATGAATAAACACTCGGTGGTTCATAAAACTTTCTCATGGTATCAGAGCTTCTATAGGATTTGCATCCATTGACCCAAATGGCCTTCGTCAACCCATCTCTTTCTCTGTCTTTCAATACTATGGTACATCTCCTAACCGTCAAGCTGTCCTCCTCGAACTACCTTCCTTGACGCAGTCAAGTGCTGCCATTGTTGCAGTGCCAAAACCTTCTCGGCTATGTTGATGGCTCTCTCAAATCTCCTCTCGCCACTGTCGGTTTTGGTGAAACTGCCACAATAAATCCCAAATTTGTTGAATGGCAGCAAACCGATCAGCTTGTTCTCAGCCTTCTCCTTGCTTTGTTAACTGAAGAAGCTCTATCTACTGTTGTTGGATTAAGCACCTCACATGAAGTATGGTCCACTTTGGAGACCACCTTCAGCCACTGTTCCAAATCCTGGGAGCTGGAAGGATGAATTGCAGCACATGAAGAAAGATGCTCGGACTGTGGTTGAATATTCTCGCAAGTTCAAATTTGTTTGTGACCAACTCGCTGCCATGGGTTGGCCAGTGGATGATTTAGACAGAATACACTGGTTTTTGCGAGGACTTGGCTCTGCTTTCTCCACTTTTTCTACCACACAATTATTAGTCTCACCTCTTCCATCTTTTACTAATATTGTTCCCATGGCGGAGAGTTATGAAAATCTTGTCAAATCTTTAGAGATATCCTCCACAGATCATACTTCAGTCGCCTTTACTGCCTCTCATGGAAATCGTTCTTGTCGTGGAGGTGGTCGTTCTCTTCACAGGGGTCGTGCCAATGGTAGCGACCGTTATCAATGTAGTCGCCCTATTCGCTGTCAAATCTGCTGTGAGGAAGGGCATTACGCCACATTTTGTCATGACCGCTACCCTCAGTCTTCCAATAATGCTAATCATGTGGAGGCTTTTACCTCATGCTCTCTCAACGAGAATCTAGAGTCCGATTGGTACACTGACACTGGTGCTATTGCACACATGACTAATGATGTTTCTCAGCTGCACAAGTCTGACAAGTACACTGGTAATGATCGTGTTATTGTCGGTAATGGTGCCTTTCTTCCCATTTCTCACATTGGTACTGCCTCTCTTATATCTTCTCTTAATTTACAAGATGTTCTAGTTGTGCCCGGCTTAACCAAAAATCTGATTTCCATTAGTAAAGTTACTGCTGATTTTCCTTTCTCTATCACATTCACTAATGATCAATTTGTTATACAGAACCAAGTGACAAGAAAGGTACGGCAACCGAGCGACGTGAGAACGAACTCTATGTGCTCAAGTGTGGACATCACTCTTTGATCGGACAACAATCTTTAATATCTGTACTCTCACATAATTGTCCTCGAGCCTCATTTGATGTTTGGCATACTTGATTAGGCCATGTATCTCACTCTATTTTTTCTCTATTGAATAAAAATCGTCAATTATGTGTGACTTCTTTGCTTCCTACTCCCACTATCTGCTCTAGTTGCCAACTTGCAAAAAGTCATAGACTTCCATTCCAACAAAATAAAAAACGGTCTCCTAATATTTTGAATCTTATTCATTGTGATTTATGGGGTCCATCCCTTGTTTTCTCCAATATGGGTTACAAATATTATGTCATTTTTATTGATGATTATTCATGATTCACGTGGTTTTATCCTTTGAAGTTAAAATCTGAATTTTATCACACTTTTCTTCAATTTCAAAAATTTGTGAAAAATCAATTTTCCGTTAAAATCAAAGCATTCCGAAGTGACGGAGGCACAGAATTTACAAATCATCTTTTTCGAGATCACCTTTCCAACTGTGGCATCCATAATCAAATGTCTTGCCCTTATACACCAGCCTATAATGGTCGAGCTGAGCGTAAACATCGTCATCTAACAGAAACTAGTCTAGCAATGCTCTTTCACGCACATGTCCATCTTAAATTTTGGGTTGATGCCTTTAGCACGGCCACTTTCATCATCAATCGGTTGCCAACGCCCACTCTTGCTGGCTTGTCTCCTTTTGAGTTGTTGTTTGGTAAGCCTTCCGTTTACTCTAATTTTCATTCTTTTGGTTGCCTTGTATTTCCATAATTACATGATTATGCCTCTCACAAGTTAGCACCTTGAAGTCGTCCTTGTGTTTTTCTTGGCTATAGTATGTCTCATAATGGTTATCACTGTCTTGATCATTCCACTAATCGCGTTTTTATCTCCAGGTATGCAATTTTTGATGAACTTATTTACCCTTTTAAGGGAACTCCCTGCCCTTCACCCATGTCTCATTCTCCCGTTAGTGCATTTCTTGAGCCCGCTACTGTCCTAGAGGCCTCATCATCGACTTAACCCGATCCCCTACCACCTCCTTGTAATTCTTATTTAACCGATGCATCTACTAGTCTTGTGCCTATGTCTATTTTGCAGGCTGCAGATGACGTACCTATTGTTCACACAGTGCCGGGTCCCTCTCATGACTCCGACAGTCCAGCACCCATTATTGAAGTATGCTCAGGCCAGCCTCCTCCACTTGGCACCCATCCAATGCAAACTCGTGCAAAATTTGGCATTTTCAAGCCTATCCATTGGTCTCATGTGTGCATAGTTCCTTACTCTAGCCTCCTTGAATCTCTTCTCACCATGCGCGAACCTAAAGGCTTCAAATCCGCTGCCAAACATTCTGGATGAATTGCAGCCATGGATGAAGAAATTCAGGCCCTTCATAAAAGTCATACATGGGATTTGGTACCTAAACCGCCCAATGCAAATGTTGTGGGCTCTAAATGGGTTTTCCGTGTCAAATATCTATCGAATGGCAGTGTCAACCACCTTAAAGCCCGCTTGGTTGCAAAGGGCTATACACAACATTCGGGTCTTGACTTCATCGATACCTTTAGTCCTGTTGTCAAAGCTTCCACTGTCCGGGTTGTTTTATCTTTGGCCGTCTCTCATAATTGGCCTCTTCGGCAACTTGATGTTAAGAATGTGTTTCTTAATGGTTTCTTGCAGGAAGAAGTTTACATGGATTAGACACCTGGTTATGTTGATTCTAAACATCCCTCATATGTTTGCCGCCTTCGTCGGGCTCTCTATGGTCTCAAACAAGCTCCATGAGCTTGGTTTCATCGCTTCAGCACCTTTCTCTTGGCCATTGGCTTCATTTGTAGTTAAGATGACTCACCCTTATTTGTTCTCTCTAAGGGTGTTGACTTAATTTATCTATTACTCTATGTTGATGACACTGTGGTAACTGGCAACAACACGGCAGTCCTTGATGACTTTATTTGTAGGTTGACTAGTGAATTTTCCACTACAGACCTTGGATCTCTGAATTATTTCTTGGGCTTGGAAGCCCATCGCACTTCTATTGGTCTTTTTCTTAGCCAAACCAAGTATGCTCTTGAAATCCTATAGCGTGCCCATTTAGTTGACTCTAAACCGATCTGACTTAATTTATCTATTACTCTATGTTGATGACACTGTGGTAACTGGCAACAACACGGCAGTCCTTGATGACTTTATTTGTAGGTTGACTAGTGAATTTTCCACTACAGACCTTGGATCTCTGAATTATTTCTTGGGCTTAGAAGCCCATCACACTTCTATTGGTCTTTTTCTTAGCCAAACCAAGTATGCTCTTGAAATCCTATAGCGTGCCCATTTAGTTGACTCTAAACCGATCTGCACTCCCATGGTAGTCGCTCAGTGTTTTTCCACCACGGGCCCTGATTTTGATGATCCACATCTCTTTCAGTCACTTGTGGGAGCTCTCCAATATCTTACCATCACTCGACCGGATTTCACTCATGCTGTAAGTGTTGTCAGCCAGTTCATGCACAAGCCTTCTATCTCTCATTTTCTGGCAGTAAAAAGGATACTACGATATATCAAGGGAACTCTTCGATTTGGCTTATCCTTCACTCTATCTTCTTCTCGGGAACTCCTTGCTTATTCAGATGCCGATTGGGCTGGCTGTCTTGACACACGTCGTTCAGTTTCTGGTTATGCAATCTATTTTGATGACACTCTAGTGTCTTGGAGCTCTAAGAAGCAGCCGACAGTTTCATGCTTTAGCTGTGAATCTGAATATAGGGCTTTAGCATTCATAGCCTCCGAGGTTAAATGGCTACGACATCTCCTTCAAGATCTTTGTGCCTCTACTTTGTCTCCTCCGGTCATACTTTGTGATAATCAAAGTTCAATTTTTCTCTCCGTTAATCCAGTCTCTCATAAACGCTCCGAGCGCATTGATTTAGACTATCATTTTGTGAGGAAAATGGTGGCCTCCGGAGAACTCAAGATTCAATATGTCCCAACTCAGCTACAACTTGCGGACATATTCACCAAGAGTCTCGATCGACCTACCTTCATCTTCTTACGTTCTAAGCTATGCGTCCATGATTCTAATACGCTAGGCTTGCGGGGGGTATTACGATTATGGAAAGATCTCGAAGATCCTCCCTTCATGATCCTGGACAATCTTTTAAATATAGGAAATAGATTGTAATTTATATGCTACCTTGTTTGCAAATATTCTTGCCATATTCATTGTTGTACAGATTCTATATAATGATACTCACACCATGAATAAACACATGGTGGTTCATAAAACCTTCTCAACATTTGGTGCTCTTCATTTGATAAAGGAAGGGGCATTTTCTTTGTTCTAAAAATCACATCACATCACATCACATCACTTCACTGATTTTTTTATTTTTGTATTTTTTTTGTGTAACAGTAAAATTACATGAGATCACGATCTTTGTTTGGAATTCTTTTCAGCATGAAATCAGTCATTGAGCGATACAGTAAAGCAAAAGAGGAACGCCATCAGCTGCTCAATCCAGCTTCTGAGGTCAAGGTAAGAGCAATAAAACCATGCCATGCTTTATAACTTGTTTGTTCATCGTAATTATATATCACGTACATGATTTTCAAATTTTAATTTTAGAAAACTACAATTGTACAAAGTTTTGATCGCATTTTTCAAATTTTACCTATGTCCATAGGAAGTTGAAATATGACCTTTTGGTAGTCTTCCATGTGTTTCAGCTAGATGTTAGTAATACATGATTTTAGCACATAGGTTTTAATACGACAAAGTCCTTACATGAGGTGGCATCTAGAATTTTAGATACATATTGGGCATGTTTGGTATGTAGTATTGAATATGATCCGCCATTATAATTAGATGATTTTAGTTTCTTATTGTTATTTTTATTAGTTCGACACCATTTAATCCATCTTCCAAAGAAGTTAGGAAAAGACTGGGCAGAAATATATGGAACTCATGCAACATTAATTCATTGGCAAGAAAAACTTGAGTTATCAAATTTTCTTCAGATTTTAATAGGAGCTCTCCTCACACTAGAGTTTTGTACCATAAATTTCCCTTTTAAAGACACAGAATTTTGTCGTAAAAAGTCATTTTAGAGTTATTTTGTCAAAAAATGATAATCAAAATATTTTTCAAGGCAAAAAATTTCGCCGTTAAAGTGAAATTTTCTGTGGTATACAAGTATAAAAGTCCAAAACATATCATAAAACAGTCATATGGTATTTATTTTCTTACCTAAAAATGCTTATCATAACCAAATATATAATGAGCATTTTTATTTTTATTTTTTTATTTTTTGATAGTATGAGCTTCTATTGTAGAAGAAGTAAGGCCGAATGTGCTCTTAAAGTTTCAACCCCACAACATAAAGCTCGTCTAAGGGTAACGAACTATCTTCTAATGGAATTATGTTACGAACAGCAAGAATACCTTCACTTGTTCACCTACCAATCGCAGCAAGATTACCTTCTCCTAATTTCCTCAACATTGTCACACATTTCCTAATCTTTTAGGTCGATAAGTTAAACATTTTAAGTTTTGTAGGCACAACAAATTATAGTAGCGTTAACCATTGTGGATTCGAGATTTTAAATACCTATGAGGTTAACTTTCCTTTAATTTCATGAATCATAAATTAAAAGCATGATCTGTAATTGAGAACCAAAAGTCTGGCACTCAAGCTACAAACTAATATATGTATGTGTACAAAATCCTGTCAAATTTAACATAATTCCAATACAAGGTAGTTTGTTTGTCTTGGACAAGCAGTATATATTGTAATACTAAGAACTGAATCGAAGTAGAAATAAGGAAAACGATATTTGAAGGGTCTAATGCAGTTGCTAACACTAACTCCGTGGAGGGGTTAACACAGTTTTATATATGACTAATCATTGTCACGTGCGTTGCACGAATGTTGTATTTATTGTGTTTTTGTTAGTGTAGAAATTGTGGATGTTAAAAAAATGTTGAAGATTTATTGCATTATTCAAGAGTCTTGAGAGCATATTATTGCTTTCTATCTATAAAATCCCCATGCATACACTTATGGTTGTAGTTAGTTAAATAAACTTAAATAAACCTAAAGTGAAGAATGCTCATACTGTCTCAAAAATCACTATCTTCTAAGCCAAAAATAAAAAACTATCTAGTGTATGTGTTTGATTAGTTTAGGTAAGTATGTGAAAAAGGCCGAATCTATTAGTAATGTCATTATGTCTGAACTATATGAGTAGTATGGAATTCTTAAGATATTAACAAAAAAACACTTGCACCAAGTCAAGGAAAATATTGGAGGTTTGCATACATTTTTCTATTCAATTCAACAATCGTTCCTGTGCAACTCATCAACTTTCTAAACAATGGACCCGTTTTCTCTATTAAATTTTCATGAGATGCATCACAAAAGAAATTCTAAACAACGGGATCATCAACTGCACGTAGATTATAGGAATATTAATTCGAGTTAAACACTGATTGGTCCAATGATTTTTAGCAAAATTTGCAAAAAGGTCAAACTCAATCAATCAAAAACTACAGCTTGCAAGAAATCATCACAATCAACAAACTTGAAAATGAAACAAGTGGTATAATATAATTTTTACTCAATTGGAAGTTGGTTGTGTGGGGATGAATCCAATGATATATGAAAAATCCTTTTGGTAGATTAGTTTTCAGTTGCAAGTTAGTTGCATGGAAGTATGTATGAGATATGTTTGTAAAAAAGTTGTATAAATGCGGATGCTGGAACTTTTTACTCAATTATTGCAACAACTTATTCAACACTGTCATCATATTCGACAATGAAAAGGTAATTTCAGGAGGCAATTATTTTATATGTCACTCATTCATAGTAAAACATTGTAAAGACACACATTAACTTAAATAATCAAATCTCCATGGAGAAAGGAATTCTTATAATAATTGAATTAAACAAGAAGCATAACGCACGTGGACAAGAAAATGAAATAGAAGCATCCACTTTGCACAACATTAAATATTAAGTTTACTTCATTTAGTATTCCATTTACTCATTTTTTTGTTCACTTCTTTATACTTTTAATTGAAAAAATTGCTATAGATACCGATAGCAATTCAATGAAATAATAAGGTACATCGAAACAAAAAATCACACAACTTTCATCTTCCATTTACTAATTGCAGTAACCCATCTTTGCTAATACTTGATATCAGAATAGCAATGTAAATTTAACTAACCGTTAATTGTTCAGCATGCTTGCATTGAGAAGCAAAATTTTTTAATTGCATTGATGCAACTCTTCCATATTCCTCATAAAGCATATAGTCAGTCTAGAAAGTAAACAAGTACTCCATTGATATATGGATGAAAAACCTGATATTTACCCATAACAAGAAACTTAAAGGCATTGCAGATGATTAAGAAAATACAATTTACAGAATATACCTTTGTAACTCTAAAATATAAGGCGTGTGATGTGAAAGCTATTCTAGTAGAGGTGTTCATCCATTCATCTACAAAAATAAATAAATTCTCAAGAGTAAAAATATCTCGTCTCCCAAATGAAGGACTACAGTAAACCTTAGATAAATAAAAGTAGAAAATCTTGTAGGTAAAAGTACTAAAAAAAAAAAGGAAAACAAAAATTAAAAGAATAGGATAAGAAAGATTAAAAAACAATTAAAAAATAGCAAGAGAAAAAAAAGAAAAGCCCAAAGTATATAAGAAATCTATTATTAAAAACGGAAAAATTACATTAGTCATAATTTAGCTCATAAGAAAACTGAATTTTTACTATTAACTTCTTTTAGGTGCATATAGATAGTTGTTTTATCGCAAACAAGTAAATAAGAGCACAAGTTTTAGTCTCATTACATAAATAAGAACAATACCCAACTCAATTTGCCCTTGTTCATCAACTACAAATGCTGATATATAAAGAATTTAAAAAATATTTCATGGATTCAAGAATCTAAACAGATATGAATTCGAAATGCAATTGGGTCGAGAAAAAAATACCAATTTCAAAAGATGTGCATTAATAATATTAATAAAACGGTCATCTGAGTAGTCCTTATCACTACCGAATAATTTCACCTCCTTGAGAAAGAAATACCTGACTACATCAAAGCCAAATTTGTGCACCAAGTCAGTCGGCTTAAGTGTATTTCCCGGTGACTTTCACATTTTAAAGTCATCCTAACAAATGAAAAGCATTGCTCACTAAATAAAATAGATTAAATGAGGAAAATAGTAAACACATACATTATGATCTCTATTCATTATGATCTGTATTTTATACAAGCGGAAAATAGATAAAACAATCTTTTAAAATTTAAGGTAAAAGATGAAAAACTAACTTGGATACCTTTTTTAAGAATCCATGGTCAAAAACCATCTTCGAGAGGAATATCCATCTAGCAACCACCGAGCTGTAAAAAGTCAAAAACTCAAGCTTAACATTCAGAAAATTTATTACGAAAACTACAAGAAGAGCATGATAAAATTCTCAAAATTTTAAGTATATAATCATCAATGAAAACCAAACATCCAGCACAAGACTTCTTCTACTATGAAACCGTAAAAGTTTTAAAAAAATTAGGTCAAAACCTCTTTTTGGATTGAGAGACTCGAAGATCCACTACTTCATCTGCCACAGACAAAACTATCAATACATGGCATGTTCTGAGATAAAATGTGAATTGAGCAAAAATTTTACAATTTGGATGAGAGAGAGGAGTTTGAGAGAAAAAGAAATGGGATTGTAAGTGAGAATAAATGGATGTTGTGTTGCATGAAAAGTAGGGAAAAAATAGATATTGTGTAAAGAATGAAGAAAGTAGGGAAAGCAGAGTGGAAAGATAAAAGAAAAAAAGAAGAAAAAATTATCAATAAAAAAAAAAAATCTCTCCGCACTGTGCGGATAGTTTTGTCATTATGCCAACTCTCCGCACATAGTTTTGCATATCTTCGCACTGTGTGGAGAGGAAATTTATTTATTTATTTATTTATTTATTTTGCTCCTCACTGTGAGGAGGGTTTGCCAACTCTTCGCACATGGTTTGCCATCTTTCCGTATTGTGCGGAGTTTTTTTTTATTTTTATTTTTAATGCTCATGTGCGGAGAGTTGATTTTCCATTTTTTTTTTGTTTTGCTTATGACAGTTTATATATACTAAAATTATTATTATTTTTAATGCTGATGGCATGATGTGTAGAAGAACATTTGTCAGATGACGATAAACAAAATGTGAAGGATTGATTTACTGTTGCATCCACAGCAGTGCCTCATTCCCCTTTATATAAGAAGTTAGATAAAAATTGAGGTCATGCACTGTATTAGGCAAGCATAAGAACTTAAGAATTCCATCTTATCCCCCTTTCAGTTATGAGAGGAATACTTGAGTAACTACTAGTTTATTAATTTCTCAAATCATTTATTAATGGTTTGGAGGTATATGCATAAATCTATTTATTAACACTGTTTAATTTCACTTTATTCAATCACCTCCATCATTTATGCTGAATTTGTGCAATTATACTGCTAGTTTTGGCAAAGGGAGGCAGCAATTTTAAGGCAACAATTACAGGATTTGCAAGAAAATCACCGGTAAATTCTTAACTGCAAAATGCTACTTAGCTATTCATTCAACAATAGATTGTTGGTAGGGAAAAAAGTGAGGCATAGATTGTGAAAATAGTATAATTACTAAATTCCATTTTTCTGGGAATAACTTGAAATAGGGCTGGTAAAATTTGAGCAGCTTCCGGCTTAATATTCCTTTAACAATATATATGGTTAAAGCATCTTTGATAGTCACTATTGCACAAGTTTGAACAGTGCAATAGGATTGAGCTTATTTTTTTCCTTTCATATTGTCCGGTACTACTTGGCAGTCTATGTTACCAAAATAGGCCATTTATGCAGACCATGATCATGAATTAACTTTAGGATTAATAAGGCAGGAAATTGATGGGAGAAGAACTTAATGGCTTGGGCATTGAAGATCTACAAAAATTGGAAAACCAACTGGAGATGAGTTTGCGGGTTGTCCGTAAGAAAAAGGTCAGATATTCCTATTGATTTCATATGAAGTCTTATTCATTAGTGCATGTTTGATACACAATATTTGATATAATTAGAACAAATAATAATTAATTTAGGTCTTTTTTATTTCTTATTATCGTATTGTCTAATACTATTAGTATCCTTTCCAATGATTCGAAAAATATCTAAAGCTCATTTTCTAATTAACTTTTGCTGAATGAATGGTCTTCTATCTTCACAGGAACAAATATTAACAGAAGAGATTCAAGAACTAAATAGAAAGGTATGACTAAAGAACAGAATTGCGTAACAAATCTACTCCCAAAAAAGGGAAAAGAACCAGAAATTGATTAAAATGATTGTTAATTGTTGGATGAAATTAATTCTCTCTTTCAAATGCTTCCTGGATATATTCACAGGGAAATCTCATCCATCAAGAGAATATTGAACTCTATAAGAAGGTAAAACTCATTCAACAAGAAAACATGGAATTATATAAGAAGGTATTAATATTATATATGTATACAGTATAGTTTTCTGAAACTTCATCAGGCATCAGCTTTCGAATTTCACCATGCATGCCCTTAAACTCTGGTGTGACTCAGGCTTATAGCACGAGGGATCCAAGTACAGCAAATGAAAATGGCTTTCTTCCATATAGTTTCACCCTTACTAGGGAACTGCATGTCCCCATCCAGCTTCAGCTAAGCCAGACTACGCCTAATCTTCAAACACCAGCAAGAGAATCAGAACCGAGGTATGTTTTTCATGCCGAAATTACAATAATCAAACACGAATTAACCACAGATAATAGTACCAATACCTCTTCCTAAATCAGTAATGTGTTTTCTATTGTATCATATAAAATAAAACAAATTAAGTTCAAGTCCAACATGAATTTTACGTATTGAGTGAATTACTATCGATTATGCTAGTCTACATAACATATTCCATTAATTTCTTACACCCATTTACTCTACAAGACTTATATATTCATATAACACTCTAACGTAAAAAATTTCCTCCTTATGATTTAACAGGTAACGGTCAGTGATGGCAATCCACGAGAATACAACTACCTGAAGTTGTGACAACATTGGAACAGAAGATGTTAACATATGATAAAGAAGGGTTTCTGCAATTAGTTGGACTTTAAAGGAATAGAATTTTCTTTGGACAATTGTACTATCATATATATGGGTAGTCAGTACTCCCATAAATAAAATTAGTGCAGGCATAATTCGCGTTAATCATTGAGACTGGTGGCTTATGTGGGATGATACCAGAAAGCTAATGCTTTCTGTTTATAGTCGAACAATGTTCAACAGATTGAGACTGAATTAATTACAACCGTGTTTCTCAATTTCAGTTTAATCAACTGAACATATACATAGGTAGGATCGAAGGTACATATAATTAGACAATTTCATGAAGAAAAACAGATCTTGCTAGTTTATATATAGTTCAACTCCAATTCTCTGCACACCAAGTATGCAATTGAGGTATATCTTTTATGATGTCAGCATATTTGGTCTAGCCTTGAAAAAAAAAATTATTTTTTTGATTGGACAGTATCACTGTTGATGCGCTTATTGTAGTGCAAGTAAAGAGGAAGATTTATTCTGTACTAAAGTAAATTTTTAGAAAAACTCAAACATGTTTTTTTTTTTTTTTTTTTTTTTTTTNACCGAAGAATGAAGAGGCATAAGACTATATATGAGATAGATCAACAGTCACTTATCAACGTTTGTGAGATGGCCACATGTAAGACCAAGATCAATTCTTCAAAGAGGAGCCAAAAACATGTTTATAAGGGAACACGATTTCTTTAAAAAATAGCCAATGGACTCCAGAAGACCCAGGCCCACACTCTGACCCAAGTATAGTGAGACAGCCCATTCAACAATCTCCCCCTTGTCGAACTATTCTTGGTAATTTCTAGTGTCTAGATATCCAGTAGTTTCATTTGCTCTTATTTAGCTGCACAAAACCAAAGAACAAAGTTAGTATATATTTAAAGAATCAATACTGCGTGATCATTTCTAAACCTCATCACCTTTCAAGATGATGTTTAGCATTTTCAAGCAGTTTTTAAATTTATTCAAAGGCAACTAGGCCTGGGCGCGGGTAAAGAGAACCAAACCGAACAATTTTTTTTTGGATATTTAGTAAATGGAATCGTCGGGTCCAAATATTATTATGGAACCGTTCATGTTTGATTTGGTTCGATTTCGTACTATAATTAAATTTTTTAACATTTATAACAACATTATATAAATATAACTAATGATACATTCAATTGTAGTTTTACAAACTAATATAGTCCAATTTAATAACATATAAATAACAAGTTGTCCAACAAGATTAATTTACTAACGCATACAAATACCAAAAAGTAGATACTAATATGAAATCTTTGATAATCCATTCAATGGTTCCTTTGCTTCAAACTTTAAGTCTACATGAAAAATAAAATATAAATTAGAAGTTATAGAGAAAAATATATTTTAAAGTATTGCTAATACTTATCAACTATTTAATATATCCATCAATTGCTTGACTTGCCATACTCACTACTAAGAAACTCTACAAGAAAAATTTGATAAAACATAATAAAAAACATAAATAAATTAAAAATTGTTCAACTAATGAGATTTAATTATTTAATTAATTAATTTGCTAATTTATTCAAAAAATTAAAATAATTTGATTTATCTAATATAAAAAAAATTAAATTTTTTTGAAAGATTCGGTTCTTCTAAACCAAGAACCAAACCAAACCCATCGGTTCTCGATTTAGATACCCGTTCAAGTATTTAACTTAAGAATAACCACACGATTCGATTTCGATTTGGTTCGGTTTGGACATTTTGCCTAGCCCTAAAGGGAACACTTTAGTTCCCATATCAAAAGGGTTATACTCTATAGGAATTTTCTCTAAACTAATCTAACCCTTCTCAGTCATGTTTCTAACAAAGTGAAACTTTATATTTACATGCTTTGTTCTATCATAATACATAGGGTTTTTGCTAAGATGTATAGCACTTTGATTATCAGTATAGATTTTAACAAAATTGTTCATAAAACCAATTTCATTTAACAATCCTCTTATCCACGGTCCTTCTTTAACTGTATCACAAGCAGCTATATACTCACCCTCTGTAGATGATAGTGCTACTAATTTTTGTAGTTGTGATTTTCAACTAATACAACCATCACACGAAGTGAAAATATATGATGAAGTGGACCTTCTTTTATCTAAATCTCCAGCAAAATTTGAATCAGTATAACCTTAAGGATTGTACCTTCATTACGTCTTTTAAACAGTAAGCTTAATTCAGATGACCTTTCAGATATCTCAACAACCATTTCATAGCCAACCAATGTGTTTTACCAGGATTTGCCATAAATCTACTTAATATACTTATGCCATGAGCTAAATCAGGTCTAGTGCATACCATAAGATACACAACAGATCCTACAGTATTAGCATATGGAACATTTATCATTCTATTAAATTTTTCATCAGTTTTAGGTGACTGTTCACTAGACAATTTGAAATAATTTGCAATAGGTAAAGAAACAGGTTTGCAGTCAAGCACATAATTTTTCAAGTATTTTCTTCACATAAGTACATTGCTTCAGATATAAAATGCGATCTAACCTATTCCTTTCTATTTCCATTCCAAAAAATTTTCTAACTTGGCCTAGATGCTTCATTTCAAATTCAAATTTTAATTTTAACTTAATAAAATCAATTTCAGTTCTATCATGACAAGCAAGTAACATGTCATCAACATATAGTAACAAGTAAGTAGATTCGGGTCCACTTGACCCTATGAAAAAGAAACAAGAGTCATAATTACTCTTGGCAAAACCCAAAGTCTGAATATATGAATTGAACCTCTTATACCATTCTTGGGGAGCTTGCTTTAGCTTATACAAAGATTTATTTAACAAATGGACTTTGTTACCGTTGGATTTTTCTTCAAAACTTGGTGGTTGATTCATATAAATGGTCTCTTCAAGTTCACCATTTAAGAATATAGTTTTTACATCAAGTTGATCTAACTCTTAATTAAAATTAGCAGTTAATGTGAGCAATATTCTGATTGAGGTGCATTTAGCTACTCGAGAAAATATTTCATTATAGTCTACTCCTTCCTTTTGTGTAAACCCCTTAGCAACAAGTCTAATTTTATACCTTTTTCTAAGTGTGCTAGAATCTCCTTCCTTAATTTTAAAAATCCACTTACAGTCAACAACTTTTTGATTTTTAGGTTTATTAACTAAAATCCAAGTTTTATTTTTAATCAAGGAATTCATCTCCTCATTCATGGCTTCGTTCCACAACTTGGACTCTTGACTATTAATGGCTTCTTCGTAGGTAGAAGGTTCAGAGTTTAGAGAGTCAAGTGCAGTGAACAGAGCGACAAATTCATCGTTGCTAAATTTGGTGGATGGAATCCTATTCCTTCTCTCTCTATTTTGGTCAACTGATAGTCAACAAGAGGTGGATTATTTGATTCAATTTCAGTGTCAATCTTAGGTTCACCAAGATCCTAATTTATGTCAGATTGGGTATTCTCTACCTCAATTAAATCATCTTGATCATTTGAGTTGTATAATTAATTTTCAAGAATAATCTTTTTCATATGAGGAAGTTCAACATGTTTTGATTCTGATGTGGTTTTACAAGGCACTTCATTTTCATTAAAAATGACATCTCTACTTATAAACACTCTAGAATCACCTTTAGACTTGTTCCAAAGCCTATAGCCTTTAGTTTCTTCAGCATACCCTAAGAACACACACTTTAGGAATCTTGGTTCAAGTTTTTCTTCATTTTGATGGGAGTAAGCAATACAATCAAAAACCTTAAGTCTACTATAATCTGGTGTCACATTTGACCACAATTTTTCATGGACTTGAAAGTCAATAACACTAGGACTCCTATTTATCAAATATGTAGCTGTTTTTAATGCTTCTCTCCAGAAAAATTAGGGAAGATCAGAACTGTGTAACATACATCTGACCTTTTCTAATAGTGTTCTATTCATTCTCTCAGCAACACAATTTTGCTGAGGGGTGTATGTCACAGTCTTATGCCTTAGAATTCCAAATTCTTTAAAAAAAGAGTCAAATTCTAGATTACAGAATTTAAGGCCATTGTCAGTCCTTAGTGCTTTGATTTTCTTATTGGTCGGATTTTCAATCATTAATTTCCCTTATCTGAAATTTTGAAAGGTGTCAGATTTTTGTTTTAAAAGAAAAGTTCATATTTTTTTTTTTGAAAAATTATCCACTATTATCAAGTAGAATCTGAATCCACTCAAAGTATTTACTAATGTTGGACCCCATAGATTAGCATGTAAATAATCCAAGATAGATATGGATTTGTGTGTTACAGTTTTGAAAGGTAATTTATTTTATTTTCCAACAACATAGTCTTCACAAAAACTTAACTTTTCAATATTATCACTTCCAAGATATCCAAGTTGATTCAAGATAGTTAGTCCCTTTTCAGATATGTGGCCAAGTCTTTTGTGCCAAATTAAAGACTTATTAAGATTTGAATTAACTGTGGCAGAATTATATCCTACCACAGGTTTAGCTTGTATAGTGTAGATCCCATTTATCTTTGGTGATGAAAACACTTCTTTCTGATCAAGATTCAGTTTTATACAACTCTTATGGATTCTCATATCATAATCTTCATCTAATTTTCCTTAGGAAATCAGATTTCTTTTCAGTTCAGGTACATACCTAACCTTGTCTAGTTTAAGTATGTAATTTTCCTCAACAAGAGATATAATTTTCCTATGCCCTTAATCTGACAACTCATGTCATTTTCCATTGGAACTTGTCCTCCATTAAGATCACTCAGATCAATAAACTAATCTTTCATAGAGAACATATGAAATGTGCGACCAGAATCAAGCACCCATTCTTTTGGGTTTCTATTTATAGTATTAACAAGGACAATTCCTTGTATATCAAGTTCATTTTTGTAGACAATAGCAGCAGAACCATCAGTGTTATGCTTATCTTTTAAATCAGAAGCCCTCTTAAAACAATCTTTGATTACACGTCCTGTTTTCCACAATAATAACACTTTCTAATCTGATTTTTAGATTCCACAAAGTTCTTATTTTTATACCTGAATCTAAAGTTCGGAGTTCTTCCTTTCTTTTGAGAATTGAAGTTGCATCGATTTGTCTTTCTGTTTTGATTATGTTTTTCCTTTATTTGAAGGCCATCACCAATTTTAGGATCTTTCGAGTCTTAAGTTCAAGTTCCCTGTTCCTTAAAGCATAGACAACTATATCAAAAGTGTGATCTTTTCCTCCAAATTCTAAGGCATTTCTTATTTC